GCCCCGGGGCGTGGTGCCCCTGGGTCCCTAACGGAGGGTCTATCACACATCTTCATCCTTTCTCTGTATGAATGAGAATGGGGGGGAGTGAGTACTGAGAAAGGAGAAGATTCCAGGCATTCTATGGAGGAAGAATCATTAAGACGTGATAACTGTGATTGGATTTGGGAATGAAGAGGGAGGGAGAGGGAGATTCTGAAGGGCCAAGTTCTAAGAGGCAAAAGACTCTAAAGGTGGTTTAAAAAAATCTATAAGCAAGGGGTATTTAGGTTCCTATGGCTCAGGCAATGTAACCCCATTATCAAATGACCAGGCTGCTGTAGATCCTCCTAAAATCATAGGATCATAGTTTGAGAGCTAGAAAGGGACCCATCTAATCCAGCCTCCTCATTTTACTGATGAAGAAACTGAGGCTCAGCAAGGTTGTGTGACTTACCCAGGGTCACAAAACTAGTAAGTAACAGCTGCAAGATTGGAACCCAGGTCTTCCTGACTCTGTGTCCAGCCCTCTAACTACCATATGTTGCTGCTCTCCAAGCAAGAATTCTCTGGCCAGTCCCAGGGAGAGAGCCCCCAAGATCTCCATTTTGCCTATGTCCATCTCCATTAAGAGGAAGGTGAAGGGATTCGTTTAAGCTTCATGGTGACCAGGATCCTCCCTCCCCTCTTTTCAACTTCCTTTTATGTGTCAACTTCCCCCATTAGAATAAGCTCTTTGGAGATAATTTTGTCCATCTCTGGACACTTTGGTCTGATCACAGGTGACTTAGTCTGGGAGAAACCAGCGCAGATGTAGGAGAATCTGTCACATTCTTAAATCCTAACAGCGAAGAAGGCTGCGCTCTGACCCTCAGGCATTCTGGTGCTTTAGAAAGTACTTGCTCTACAACAGCCTCCTTTCTGCCTGTCCTGCAATCCTTTTGTCATAATATCAGCCCATGCTCTCCTCCAGTGAAAATGGAGAATGGTTTGTCACTAGGAAAATGGAGAATGACTTATCACTCTCCTCTGTACCACAGGCTTTTAGATATTTGAGAGCAATGAGTTACAAAGCTCTCCCCTGCTTCCCCCTCTGATTCAAAGCTGTCAAGAACGAACAAACTCATTCTCAGAAGCTTTCCTTCCCTCATGAGACTCCATTCTGATTCGTTCCTTACTCCAGTTGCCCTCAGCCACACCACCTGCCCCCGGTACCATGTTGTCTTGACCTGTGGCTTTGTAGATAGTTTCCAATGAAGTACAGTGGAAAGAATGCTAGATTGAGAATCAGCAAAGACCTGGTTCATAGCTGTGGACCTTAGGAAAGCCACCTAACCTCTGTAGGCCTCAGTTTCCTCAATTGCAAAATCAGAGAGCTGAACTAGAATCCCTGCAAGGTCTTTTCCACCTTGAAATTAATGATCCTTTGTGTGCCACATGTCTTTCTATTTAGACCACAAGCCTCAAGGATGGGGACAATATCTTTGAGCCCCAAACCTGCCAAGGAACATGTCGTAGTGACTTCAGAAATGCTTACTGAATGAATGAATGAATGAATGAATGAATGAAGTCTCCGCTTGATCTCTTCTTTCCAGCTGTAACTCATTTCAATGTTTCTCATCTTTCCAAATACGTTTTCCTTTTTAGTTGTTGTTCAGTTGTTTTTTCAGTCATGTCTGACTGTTTGTATCCCCATTTGGGGTTTTCTTGAGAGAGATACTAAAGTGATTTGTCATTTCCTTGTCCAGCTCACTTGACAGATGTGGAAACTGAAGCAAATAGGGTTAAGTAACTCACCCTGGGTCACACAGCTAGCTAATAAGTGTCTGAGGCCACATTTGAATGCAGGTCTTCCTGACTCCAGGACAAGTACTCTATACACTGAATCAACTAGCTTCTTTTTTAATCGTATAATTATATTTTGGGCATCTAAGTACCACAGTAGATAGAGCACTGGGCCTGGAGTGAAAGAAGACTCATGTTCCTGAGTTCAAACCTGGCCTCAGACACTTACTGGCTGTGTGACCTTGGGCATGTCACTTAATCCTGTTTGCCTCAGTTTCCTCATCTGTAAAATGAGCTGGAGAAGGAAATGGTAAACCACTTCACTATGTCTGCCAAGAAAACCTCAAATAAAGTCATGAAGAGTCAGACACAACTCAGCAACAACAATAATTATATTTTGGTTGAATTTTGGCAGTTAGATGGTAGAGTGTTGGATCTGAAGTCAGGGAGGTCTGCTGTGTAAAGCCATTTAAGCTCTCTGTGCCTCAGTTTTCTTATGTATAAAATGAAAGAATTGGATCTGAAGGCCTCTAAGACCCTTTCCAACCCTAAATCTATAATTTCTCCCCACCCCTGTCCAGTCCCCACTTCTCCCACCCCACAGCCAACCTGCTTCTCTCAGGGACAAAATGAGATATTTACAAAGCATTTAACACAGTGCCTAGCACATAGTAGGTACTTAAGAAATGCTTATTCCCTCCCACCCCCCTTGGAATTAGAGCTAGTGATGAGTGGAAGACAACTTTTCAGGGACTTCAGACATGGCACATCAACTACCTGGCTACAGCCTCGGGGTTGCCTGATGTACTTGTGACCTTTCAGAATTTAATCAATGAGGTGTTGGAAGGTTTTCTCAACAGGTGGCCTACCTAGATGATATTCTGATTTTCTTCTGTGGGGTGAACAATAGCACATCCCACAGGCCTATGGAATTCTTACCTATTTACTTTGTCATGGTTTATATTATAAGCCCACAAAGTATGCTTTTCACCAGTTTTCTACTGACCCTCCTGGAATCTGCATCGGGGATAGAAGAGATATAACTGGGGCCTCTGCGTTCATGAGCCACACAGCAAAGGATACCACCAGTAGTAGTTAAGATCTTTTTTTTTTTCAGGGAATCAAACTTTACCGATAACTTATCTTGAGGATAATGCTGGAGGCTGCTGGCATCACTCACACATTGGCTGAGATAAGATGTCATATAGGTGGTGTATTGAACCCTTCCAGTATTCAAGAGAGCTTTTTAAATCACAGATAAATGGGTGGCTCAGTGGTAGAGCTCTGGGCCTAGAGTCAGGAAGACCTAAATTCAAATCTGGCCTCAGATACTTAGTAGCTGTGGGACCCTGGGTATGTCACTTAACCTCTAATCCGTTGGAGAAAGAAATGGCAAGCCACTCCAGCATCTTTGCCAAGAAAACCCCAAGGACAGTATTGGTGCGCTATGGTCCACGGGGTCACAAAGAGTCAGACATACTGAACAACAACACCAGCAAACACGTACTGTCCCATTCTTGTGGTGACAGGTGCCTCCATGGGTTGTTACTGGGGCTGCCCTGACTCAATACCTATCAGTAATGGAAGATGTGTCAGAACAGAAGGCCAAATGCCTCCCAGTTGTGTTACTGCTCTTCTCAGTAGCCTTCTGATGAAATGGGATTTACTCACACTGAGCACTGTCCTGGGACTTTGGCAGCACCCCCTCCCCATCATGGTATTATAAAATCAAAGGATTTGGAGGTAAAAGAGACTCTCTATAACATTTGGTCCAAGCCCTTTGATGAAAGTTGAGGGAACTGATGCCCCCAAGGTTAAACAACTTGCTGAGGATCCCACAGTTAGTAAATAAGAAAGCCAGAACTCCAACATAGGTCATTGATCATAGATCTTATCATCAAGCATGGATTTAAAGCTGAAGAGTATCCAGGAGACCACTTTGTCCAATTCCTTCATTTGATTTTAAAACATTTTTGTTGAAATCTTTTGTTCAAAATGACCTAAATTTCTTCTTCCAGAAAACCATATTTTATTTTTAGTTTTAATTTTTAATTTTATTTTGTTTATTTTATTTTTTAATTTTTTTAAGGAAGCAGAAAAATTAAGCAAAACTGATTGATACATCAAAAAGCCCTGACAGGATATGACCAAGTCACACCAGTGGATCCTTACCAGCACCCTCACAAAAGAGGGGGGAGATCTCATCATATTTCTTCTTTGTTCTCCCAACTTCTGTTGCCAGCCAGTCAGTGCCCTGAGGAAGAGAAGTGAAATTCCCCACTGGAGGGTAACCTCATAATTTTGCAGAGAAGGAAACTATTTCCCAAAGAGGTGAGGACCTTGGCCAAGGTCATGCAAAGAAGTAAGGCCAGGATTTGAACCCAGATCTTTTAACTTCAAATTCAGGGTTCTTTCCACTAGAGCTCATTGTTAAAGCACTAGAATTTTATTTAATCATTGTGCCTGGGAGTATTATTCCTTTTTCATTATTTTCTGTAGGTGACACATGAAAAATCCCCACATGAATGCATGAGTCTCGAAAAAAGCCAAGAAATAAGATGGAGGTGAGGAGAGAGAATAGGCTTGGGGACAGGCAGGAAGTTGAGTGACACATATGAGGAATAGCAAAAAGGCCAGTGTCACTGAATTATAGAATGCATAGGGGGGAGAAGACTGAAAATGTAGGAAAGAACAAGGCTATGACAGCCCCCATCTACATTTGTGAATGTTCCCAGGGCCTCCATTTTGGGGACGAGCCCAGACCAGTCAACCTTCATCTCCCTCCTGACTCTGCTTTTAACTTTCCAGATTTTGACACCATGTCCCAATATGGATATCTTCCCCTCCCCCTTTCAGCTTTCTTTGGTGTGGTCCCTTCCTTCATTAGGATGGAAACTCTTTGAGAGCTAGAACTATCCCTTTTTGCTTGTATTTTATCCCCAGCACTTAGCATACTATCTGGCACATAGTAAATGCCTCTTGCTTCGCCTTCTCCCAAAATTCCATGCCAGGTATAGGAATGATCTGTTCTTATATAAGTGATACTGATAAGTATGAAATAGAGAAGATTTTGGATTGCTGACAGAAGGTGGAACTAGGGCATTATTTGATTGATGGGGAGAGTATATGGCCTGGAAGACTGTATATAGGAATGGGTTAGGCATGGTCATACCATCTATGGTTAAGGAAGAATGGGGAGGGAATGTCTTGGGG